TATATGAATTAAAACCCCAATTGCGATAGTTCTGCATATAAATTAAAACCCTATTGCGATAGTTCTATATATAGATTAAAACCCTTTTGCGATAGTTCTATCTATAGATTAAAACCTTATTGCGATAGTTCTTTATATAAATTAAAACCTTATTGCGATAGTTCTGCATATAGATTAAAACCTTATTGCGATGGTTCTATATATATGTATTAAAACCCTATTGCGATAGTTCTGCATATAGATTATAACCTTATTGCGATGGTTCTATATATATGTATTAAAACCCTAGTGCGATAGTTCTGCATGTAGGTTAAAACCCTATTGTGACAGTTCTATATAAAGATTAAAAACCTAAAACCCTGTCTCTATACCACGTGTTTCTATAGCGTTCGCCCCAGCAATTGTATTCCATCAACGACTTTACATAACATCATTACGTACCAGTCTCACAAGCACAGGGTTATACGCAATGTCCTTGCATGTGTACTTAACCATCACAAGGGGTTCAAAATCACTGTTGCTGATAGGCTTGTTCTATAAATATCCACCAATCCGATGTGCGCTCATGAGCTCCAGCTGCTCCAGCTTTAACAACCAGCCTATCAAATGCACGTCTTGTTATTTCTGTGACATATTTACCAAAGACACACAATGGGCGTTTCCCGTTGTGTGGCAGGGCTGTTATGTTTTTAGGATTTTAGGGGTTTTGTGTGTCGCTGAGGCGTATGTAGTTGAGTTAAAAGAAGGATCAACTATATTGACACATGTACGATTTGCCACCATGTAGACCCGGAACAAATCAGCGATCCGTTAAACGTTTAAGTTTGACCCCGTGAAAGAGATAGGAGGCGCTTGTTGGCTATATGGAGATGTAGGGCTGTTGTGTGGGGTATTGTACTCTCACACACTAACCATACCATCTACTCATCACATATACGCACACACACTAACCATATCATCTACTCACCACACACACACACACACACACACACACTAACCATACCATCTACTCATCACATACACACACACGCACTAACCATATCATCTACTCATCACATACACACACACATACACACTAACCATATCATCTACTCACCACATACACACACACACACACACTAACCATATCATCTACTCACCACATACACACACACACACTAATCATATCATCTACTCATCACAAACACATACACACACTAACCATATCATATACTCACCACATACACACACACACTAACCATATCATCTACTCATCACATATACACTCACAAACAGAGGACATATTCAAATGCCTGAAAGTGGCGGGTGAAGGATATGCGGATACGAAGTCAAAGCAGCTAGAGGCCTTGTTGTTCTTACTACAGGTATATCTCTCACATATGTGTGCATGTGTGTATATTAAGTATGTCTATGTACATCTCTCACATACGTGTGCATGTGGGTATATTAAGTATGTATATGTACATCTCTCACATACGTGTGCATGTGTGTATATGAAGTATGTATATGTACATCTCTCACATACGTGTGCATGTGGGTATATTAAGTATGTATATTAAATCAGTGTGCATGTGTGTATATTAAGTATGAATATGATATCAAATCAGTGTGCATGTGTGTATACTAAGTATGAATATGATATCAAATCATATAAACTACATGCCTTGTGTTTTTACTACAGGTACATCTCTCACATACGTGTGCGTGTGTGTATATTAAGTATGTATACGATATCAAATCAAATAAATTGTAGGCCTTTTTTATTGTTACTACAAGTACTTATGTATGTGTGTGTATGTTGTATATCTATGTGGGATGTTCTATATACACATACCCATAGGAAAGTGATTTGACGTATAAGTATGTCTGTATGTTATCGTGGTTGTGCATGTATATACGATGTATGTATTTGTAAGTACGTATGCGACCCGTTGCTATGCGAAAGTGTTATAGTACACCTGCGTCATAATAATTTACGTAATCACTTATTTCTGTCTGGATACGTTTATGCTTCTGAACATATCGGTAATTTTAGTCTGACATGTCCACTATGTATAGTTGAAGCCCATAGAATAAACGTTTGTCTTTGCATCAATGAATACGTACCTGCTGATATGGCTTCAGCCTACCGGTTTTGTCACTCAAAATTACGAATTCCTTTTATTATAAACTAACTTATTACATAAACTGTTATTGCCCATCTCCTCAGAGCTTTGGTCAGTCACTAACGCTTGCCTGGCCGTACGTTTTCGCGATGTTGTCGTCCAATCTGGCGCCGCCCGCCCGAGCATCAAGCGTACCGTAAGTCTCATGAGATACGATTTCACGGTTTGAGTAAAATACGCGATACGTATTCACCACCGTATGTGTATAAACGTCTGCACATACTCACTACATGTCTGTATGTGTGTAGTATGTACTGGCAATTTGACGCAAGATAGGTTAACCGGGGGGGGGGGGGGTGGGAAAACGTAAACGTATAATAGTACGCTCAACATACGGGCGCAATATTTTCGTGTAGCCTTATAACGAGGCGTGAGGACTGCTGGTTCTACATGTGTGCATGGTAGAACCCTAAACCCTAAACCTTAAACCCTTAACATGCATGGCATATTCAAATGTGTGTATATGCATTCATCTGACTTGTGTGTGGGTGTATGTAAATATATGACTTGTATGGATGTATATGTATTCATATGACATGTGTGTGTATGTAAATATATATGAATTGTATGTATGTATATGCATTCATCTGACTTATGTGTGGTGTATGTAAATATATGACTTGTATGTATGTATATGTATTCATATGACATGTGTGTGTATGTATTATATGACGGGTGTGTGTATGTAAATATATATGAATTGTATGTATGTATATGCGTGCATATGACTTGTGTGTGTGTATGTATTCATATGACTTGTGTGTGTGTGAATGTAAAAATATATGAATTGTATGTATGTATATGTATGTATATGTAAGAATATATGAATTGTAGGTATGTATATGTATGTATATGTAAAAATATATGAATTGTATGTATGTATATGTATTTATATGAATGTATGTATATGTATGTGAATGACTTGTGTGTGTATGTATATATTTGACTTGTGTGTTTGTGTTCATACGTGCACTTTACTTTTATGTATACATAGACAACAATCTGACATGTATAGTGCTTGGTTACATATATTTCATCATATAACATACGCAGTGGATATGAAACGTTCCCAGCCACATAGTAAACACATTTCCATTCACTCTCATGTTGTTTTATTACCATTACGTTTGCTTCAGTTGCAGCGTAAATATCCAGTGTCTTCCTATGTAATCTTCACAGCCACTTTTATATATATACACGTTGCCTGTTGTTCTATACTATTACCATTTCGTTTGCTTCAGTTGCAGCGTATATATCTAGTGTCTTCCTATGTAATCTTCACAGCCACTTTTTATATATACACGTTGCCTGTTGTTCTATACTATTACCATTACGTTTGCTTCAGTTGCAGCGTATGTATCTAGTGTCTTCCTATGTAATCTTCACAGCCACTTTTTTATATCTACACGTTGCCTGTTGTTCTATACTATTACAATTACGTTTGCTTCAGTTGCAGCGTATATATCTAGTGTCTTCTTATGTAATCTTCACAGCCACTCTTCTATATCTACCCGTTGCCTCTTGTTCTCCTGTGCTTTATCTTCAGTGTCACTCCATCGCTTACGTGCAAACACTCGTATCAGGCATGTTGTCCTGTGGACGTATGTAGTAGTATGTGCACATATCTGTACACTCGCCACTCCATCACTTACCTACAAACACTCGCATCAGGCGTGTTGTCCTGTAAACGTATGTAGTAGTATGTGTATCTAACTCTAGACTCAGAATGTATTGCTTTGATATTCTCCGTCACCTGGCAACGCAAATGTTTTCAAACACAGTGAGGATCCCACCGTGCCCGAGGACCAATCAGAAACGGCGGTTGATCCAACGCGAGACCCTCAGCACCAATCAAATGACGACAATTCGGATGGGGGTGCGAGTATTAATGTCGCAAATAATGTCGCAAATAGTATCACTGTCGCAAACACGCGGCTGGCCTTTGAGAGCTTACAGTTGGTGGTGGCGGACTTTCTAGGAGTACTACCGGTGCACTGTCTGCATGCATGCATAGGTATGCGTTTGTAATTGATAATTATATATATGTATACATGTTCATATATGTAGACATATATATTTGCAGATACTGATAT